TAAAATATACAAAATATACCATTTTCGGACCATTTTTGGAACTTAAAATATCGAAAAATTACACGTCGTTATAATATAAAACATATTTCCAAGTCAAAATATACAAAATACATCATTTTCGGACCACTTTTAGAAGTTAAGATGTCGAAAAAATGCATACCATTGTGACATAAAATATATTTCGAAATCAAAATATCCAAAATACGGCACGTTCGGACCATTTTTGGATTTTTAAAAGTTAAGATGTCGAAAAAGTGCATGTCGTTGTGGTGCAAAATATATTTCCAATTCAAAATATTAAAAATTTACCATGTTCGAATCATATTTAGAAGTTAAAATGTCGGAAGAGTATATTCCGTTATAATGTAAAACAAATTTCCAAGTCAAAATAATAAATATGACAATGGTTCGATTCATTTTTAGAGGTTCAAATATCGTTTCACTACAATATATTATATTATATTATATTCCATTCCAATATAACTACAATTACAATTACAACTACACAACTACACTCCACTACGCTCCACTACACTAAATTACGCTACACTACACTACACTACACTATATTACACTACACTACACTACACTCCACTACACTACGTTACACTACACTACACCACTTTCAACTACACTTCACTACATAAAACTAAACTACACTCCACTACACTACAACTACAACTACGCAACTACACTCCACTGCGCTCCACTACACTAAATTACACTACACTACATTCCACTACAGTCCACTACACTACACTACATTATACTACACTACATTACACTGAATGACACTGCACCACAAATAGACAAATAGACAGATAGACAGACAGACAGACAGATAGACAGATAGACAAATAGACAGCTAAACAGATAGACAGATAAAAGAAAGAGAGAAATAGATAGATAGATAGATAGACAGACAGATAGATAGGTAATTAGATGAAAGAAAGAGAAATAGATAGATCGATAGATAAATAGATACATAGAAGATAGATAGATAGGTAGGTAGATACCCTCTGGTAAACTAACATAGCTATAGAAAATCACCATTTTTAATGGGAAAATCCACTATAAATGCCCATTTTCAATAGCTATGTTAGTTTACCAGAGGGTAGTTAGAAAAAAAGAGAGGAAGAGAGGAGACCTCAAGCACCTTTCGGTCCATCAGTGGATTCGCTCTGTCATCCTTAATTCACAACAACCAATTTCTCCTATAGGTTTCCTATTTTTGAAACTTCCGCCACCGCCTTGTGCGGTACTACTAATATATTCTATAAAAATAATTAAAATTTCCGTATAAATATGTTATTTTTTAAATTATAATTCCAAAAATTATAATGAAATATAACGAATTATTTTTTAAAAAAATATATATTAAAATAAGGTGTCAAATCAAAAATATTTAAAAAATCAGGTCGGTTTTATAAATAACCATAATAATGAATAAATAAATAAATAAAACATATTTATCAATTCCAAATTATAATATAATAATATAATCCATCATAAAATAAAATATCTGCTTCGTAAACCAAGAAATTCGATAAAAAATAATTCCAGCCTTGCCACCAAATATATATCCAAAAAAAATATATAAATATAAATAATCGTTAATACCAATCGGAAACCTACGATTCTTCATATACTACC